CCATAACTAGTAGAGGACCAAAACAAAAGAGAAGCTCTCTCCGTCTCTCTCCTCTCAGGTCGGTCTTCGTCTTCGTCTTCGTCTTCTTCTCCAAATTCCGATCGCTTTCTTCTTCTGTATATTTCGTTTTGGTTCCTCAATTTTACTCTTTTTTTTGTTTGTTTGTTTTTCGTTTGTGTTGTTTTGACTTTCGATTTTGTTTCTCGTGATTTGTGTTTTTTTGCTCATTTCTACGTGAATTTTCGGATTTCTAGTTAAAAAAAAATGTCATTTATCATGTGGGTTTTGTGGAAGATTTTTCCTTTGTGTGTTTGAATTGTGCTGGAGAAGAGTTTGATTTGTGAAAATTTCTGTTGGGGTTTCGATTAGCTTGTCTATGCTGGGTTATGTTTGATTTTTTGATCCTACCGAATTTTTCGTGTTGTGAGCTAGTTTATTTTTCAAATTTCGAATTTTTTTGCTTTACGATATTGCTTAATTCTATGTTAGTGTATCTCTGATTTGGAGTTGAAAGTTCTAGTTTAATAGAGCATGTTAAGTTTTGATTTTGGTTCTCTGATTGATTTATTTACGTTTTGATTGAATTAGTGAAAAGTGACTTGTTCATGAATCTTAATTAGGGTTTTTTTTTTCTGTGTAAGATTCTGGGTTTTTGCTGTTTCTGATAGGTTGACTTTTGGTTATGTTTGTCTTCTCGATTTTGTCTCCATAAACCGAGAATCCTAATTTAGTGCTGTGTAGATTCTTTTTTGTTTTGTCTTTGATTATTGAAATTGATGATTGTGATGGGCTCTGTTTTGCAGCATCTATTGTTGGCTTGATCCTTCAATAAGGTTTTGCTGCACGTAAATGTGCTCGATCCAAGGTCGCTAGAATTCGACATACAGAGCAAATGCCATATATAGAAATGAAGGGCAAGATAAGCAAAGTTCTTGGTGTCTGTAAGAAACATAAAACAACTACAAGAAACTCATGTTCTCTGTTCAAAATATCAGGGCACATTGAAAGCATGAACACAGCTACACATACTTGCCCCAGCGATGAAAAACAGCATATTGGTAAAGCTTTTTCCTTGTTAAAGTATTGAGCTGAAAATTGTTGATTTAGATTGTCTATAAGTTAAATGATTTTCTTGTGTTATGATTGTGTCAGTTTCTCCAGGTTTGGATACTTTTGCTCGGGATGTTGAAACCAATGAGCCTGCTGAAATGCTTGTTGAAGACACTTCTCAATCTCAGGCGTTTGCATCTTTTGTTGATGGTTCTGAATCTGTTGAAAAAATGGTAAGATTTGGTTCATGTAGCTTACTTTTATTTTTTTCCTTCTTTCACAGATACTATATGAGCAACTTTTTAACTGTGGACAATGCATTCTTGTGCAGGAAATTGCTTGCAATCATGTGTCAAACTCGGATACAATATTTTCACCTGTTCTGAATGATGAACTGGATGGAACTGATCGAGGTATCTGTTTCTGTGTAGTATGTATCTAAGTTATTCTTTGTCTGATTTATAATAATCTAATTGATATCATTCCTCAGTATTTACGGCAGGAAGCTCTGTGCACTGGGAAATTCCTAGGTGGGGAGGCGACGAAAACAGCAACAAGATTTGCTTTGACAGTCAAACTTGCAACGTTTCTGATTTCTTTATTTCAGACGTTCTTATTGCGAGCTTACCGTTTGATGAGAGTGGAAACAATGATCCATTCACCGAAATAAGCCCCTTGCCTCATTACATCTTTCCTGAGCAGTACATGATACTACCTTACTTAGAAGATGGATCAGCCAACACAGATGATGTTAAGTCAGATGTTGACAGCAGGATTAATCTCGATAACCATGACTTATTTCTGGCATTCAACCGGACAAGATCGAACAATATGCAACCAGAGGATCATGCTGAATCTGAGCAAGCTGAAGAATTTGACCCTCAGCTTTTTATAAAGAATCAGCCGGAACTATCGGATGTTGTATCCAACTATTGGCCTAGGGATACCCTAAGAAAGAAGTCTGTGACCCTTGTCCTTGATTTGGATGGTATGACTTTCTGACTTGTCCTTTCAGAGTAGTCATCATCATGAGCTAATTCGTTCTAACAGTTGTTCCTTTAGATTTATGTCGTATATTGAATCATATTTAGAAACAGAATGTCAGCTGACGTACTTCTCATTTTGATTGATTGTTTGATGAAAAGATACAGTGAAGCATTTTTTTGGATTCTGTACAAATATTGCTGTTTTTCTTACCTCTAAAGGTGGATGTGCTACTCAACTTACCAAATGTCCTTTTTTCCTCAAATGCAGAAACTTTGGTCCATTCGACTCTGGAACCGTGCAATGCTGCAGATTTTTCTTTCAGAGTCTTTTTCAACATGCAAGAGAACACGGTCTATGTGAAACAAAGGCCACACCTCTACAAGTTCTTGGAGAAGGTGGTAGAATTGTTTCATGTTGTTATCTTCACAGCTAGCCACAGCATCTATGCGACTCAACTTCTAGATATATTGGACCCGGATGGAAAGTTCATATCACAGCGTTTTTATCGCGACTCATGCATTCTTTTGGATGGAATATACACCAAGGATTTAACTGTTCTGGGTCTTGATCTGGCCAAAGTGGCTATAATTGACAACTGTCCGCAGGTACTTTATCTTAGTATCTGCTCATGGATTTTGACTTTTTTGTTTTTCTGTATGTTTATTATATTCAGTTACTGAGAACACTATTAAATTTCATGAAAGGACACAACCAATAACCTCAGTTTGGAAAAAATCTGTTAAATTACACATTTTCAAGCTTTCTTGGTGTGTCCATGGACCCTCATCTTTTCCGCTTTAATGATCATCCAAATCTTGTCTTTGGTTAATTGTTTCAGGTGTACAGATTGCAGATGAATAATGGGATCCCTATCAAAAGTTGGTACGATGATCCAACTGATGATGGTTTGATTTCTATACTTCCCTTCTTGGAGTCTTTGGCTGTTGCTGATGATGTTCGGCCTATCATTGGCAGGAGATTTGGTAACAAGGAATAAGAGCTTCCTTCTCTTTTTCTCTATATACATCGAGTGCAGATTCTGATTTCTCTTCTTTTGGATTTTAGTCATAAATTGGCCCTTAATTTTAGTTCCTCATATCGCTTTTTAGGTCGTTAATTAGGTAACCAAAGAATAAGCTCGTTGAGTCTAGTGAGAGTAAGTTTTCCTTGCTTGCTCGCTTTTTTTAGAACCTTCTGAATAGAAGAACTAGTCGTGGACTTAAATCCTATTGTTTTGCTGGTTCTTCTCTGCCAAGATAGATCCTAGAAAATCTTGCAGTTTGTTACAAATGTACAGTTGGTTAAGCTGAGATAATGGATGTGTACAAATGAGTTACTATTGCGTGAAATCATTTTGGAAGTTAACACCAGTCGCATTCATGTCTTTCTCTTTGAAGTTCTCTTATACTGATACGTAACCTTGAAATTTTTGCTTGGACTGGTAAATCCAAGCCCTTCTTTTAGCTGCTTTTAGTTCCAGTAATATAAACACAGGGGAAGCTATTCAAATAATGGAGAAGTTGAGCTTGAATCTTAAATTTTGAATCTTCATCCAGCTTATGTGGTTTATTTTTAAGGTTCTTCACTTTTCGCCTCTTGGCTTTGCAACATTCAGATGAGATATCATACCTCGAGGTGGAAGGAATTCTGAATATGCGATCATCGGGTCTAACTCATGGTATATATAGTCTAAAATCCTCATTAAAGTTTTCATATCTTTGCATACCTTATGTGCAGATATCATCCAACGAAGTAACGAACCTTTAACTATATTATACGCCTTAAGGAAATGACGAGTAAGTATGTTGAATTCATTTCACTTGCCATTTTTTGGGTCTAACAAGCTTCTTTTGCTTGTGGTTTCTTATTTCTTTCCTCTATGACCTATAAACAAAGCCATGTAAATATGTAATCTTTATACTGAAAGCTATTTCAGATCTTGTTACTTAACTCATTCCAAAACACTTGTTTTTTTTGTCTTGTCTTTCTCCCCATTGTTTCATGTAGATAATAGACTTATATCATACACATAGATGCTCATTAATATGTATATCTCTGTTTCAGTAAAGTTGTTAATCAATTTCTGAGGTTTGTTTGTTTCTGTTTCTTTCCTCGTAGCTTTTAACATGTGTGTTGTTGGTTTAAGTTCATTAGTGTATCTTTGTTGCTGTCCAGAGTGAAATTTCCAGGAAACCAGAGAGCTCTGCGAAAAACCAATCTCAGGCTGTCTCTCTGTTTGCTCATGAAGTAACATTTTCAACAGTTAGAAAATATTGCTTTCTATGAAAAAAGGTTTTCTGGATGTTAGCAACAACTACAAAAAACTTGCTTCTGATTCTAAAAGGAAGACCGCAACTTTGGAAACGCCTTTGCACCGTACCATTCGACATAAACCCTTATAATCTCCGCACAGAGGATAAGAATGCACAGTTAATTCCTTGCCTTGCATAAACACTCCAAGAAGGAAACCAGTTTTGGAAACCTTTCTAATCAAATATCTGATTCAAATCTCGTGAACCGTTTGACATTCGACCATGGACACTGGTTCTAAGCGGGTTTTCATTCGATTTTAGCGGTTGAATTACAATTTGGGTTGTGATGATGCAATCTGGTTCGACAAGAAGTAAGATTCTCCTGTGAGGGACAAAAATGTAGAATTGGACTACCATTTACCAATTTAAAACACTCTGCTTCATTTAGAGTCTTTAACCGGAGATAAACTTGGTCATATCCCATACACCACCATTTGCAACTGAAGAAGTTTTAGAAAAAGAGAAGATATGCTTAGAGCTTCTTCGCTTCTCTGTTCTTCGACCTCAATCACTCTTCCACCAGTTCAACTATTCAATCCAAATATCTCCCTTCATTTACCAAGCTTCGAGCTATGTCGTCCAGTCTCGGCTTTGTCTTGTTCTCGATGTCACTTCAGTGTCGCGAGGGCTCGTGGAAATTCCAGCTTCATCGTTCGTAGCACCGGTAAATTAAGGTTTTTCTTTTCCTGGTTTGTTTGATAATATTTTGGTTTTTGAAACATTTTGGCAACTTGATTATCCTTAATTTTCGTGTGTAGAAGAAGATGGTTTCTTTTATTCAAATCGAATTGGTTTTTAATCTTTGATATATTTGTCTCTTTTTGTGCGTTCTTTGATCTTTCAGCTACTCAGGAAGCTATTGAAACAAGTAGTAACAGTGGATTAGATTTGGTTGAGGTTGGATTCTTGTCTGGTGTTCATGGGCTACAAGGGGAGATTTGCATCAAACCAAACACTGATTTTCCTGATTTACGGTTTTCTAAGGTAAAAGTGATTATAAAGGAGAGAAATTTGTGTTTTCAAAACAAGAAACTTTATATTAGTTTGACATTGACATGATTACTTAATTAGCCTGGTAGAAGATGGTTGAGACAACAATTGATGGGACAAGATACGATTGATGAGGTCGAATTGGTTGAAGGAAGGCCTCATCCGGCCCAGAAGAGTTGGATACTCAAGTTTCGAGGGTTGGACAATGTTGATCAGGTAGTGTACTGATTCATAAGAGACTCAGAAGAAACCATTTGGGAGAATATGCTATGCTATATTTATACGTTGGGATTTTTTTCAGGTGAGACAACTCGTTGGCGCAACTCTTCTTGCTGAGGAAGATGATCGTCCTGACCTTGACGAAGGAGAGTTTTACACTCGTGATCTTGTAGGCATGAGAGTTCTTCTCAAGGTGGTGTATATCTGGATTTGCCTCTCATATGATATGTTGAAGATGTGAAATTTCTCTGGTCTAAATCAGTTATATTTATACAGGAGACTGGTCAACTTGTTGGAACGGTTGCTAATGTTTTCGACAATGGAGGAAATGATCTTCTACATGTCTTGCTTGATTCCTCCATTGATGTCTCCAACGGGAGTGCAAAGACTAATCAGCTTGTGTGGATACCTTTTGTGGACGCAATTGTTCCCGATGTTGATTTAGAAAGAAAGGAGATGTATATAACTCCTCCGAAGGGACTCCTTGAGGTGAATATGCGAGCTGGTGATCAATCCAAGAAAGAAAGGCGGCAGCTTGTGAGGCATATTCTTCTGTGCTCTTATTATTGATCAGTCTTTATAGTTTTTTCCATTGTGATCTTACTTGGTCTCTTAATCTTTACGTTCTGGTCATTTCAGGAATGGAAAGAAAGAAAAAAGCAGCAGAAGCGGCTTATTGCTGCTAAAAAGAAGTTATGTGAATTGGAGCAGAAGCATGTGTTTGATGGATTAAGGTTTGGAGAGAAATCTCAAAGAAATTTGCTTGCTGATCATATCGTTGACGTAAACTCCACACTGCTTCAGAAAGCTTTGCAAAGTATCGAGACCTCACCGAAGAGGTAAATAACTCCAAGAAATTTCCCAACTATTGCGAGAAGTCTGTTTTCTCATTTTTCATTTGAATTTTGATGAATTAGATGGAACGTAACTGAGGAAATCAATGCGCTGAGAGCTAGAGGATCAGAATGTACTCTAAATGTATCACGGGAATGCCTTAGGTTTGATGCTACTAAAGAGAAAGTGGGTGATAACTTTAGTTTCCTTCAACAAGGGAAAAATCTATTCTCTGAAGGAAAAGTTTCTATTTGTTTGGTTCTCAATGATCACGAGACCGAAGAACTGGAAGGTGAGAATGGTCCGTTCTCATACCTTCATACACTATTTGATGACGAGCAGGGGTTCCTAAAGGTTAGCTGATAAATAGTTTTACGAATATATGAATTTGTCATGTCATTTAGTTATGCTTTTATTAGATAACTGTTGAGTTACATGCAGGAAGAAGAACGTGCTTGTGTTCCACTAATCGTAGTTTCTCCTGAACATGCCTTTGAAGCTCTGCAGGAGCTATTTCAGGATAATGATCATTTTGGATTTGAATCAGAAAAGGTTAAGGCTTGAATTCTTCCAAGGATTGTTTTGTATTTCGGTTATCAGATTCTATCAGGCTTTTCCTAACAAAATTCATGTGTTTCTTATATCTAGATCTGGTTTCTCAAAGAGGAAACCCTTCCTGTAGTTTGTAGCTCACCAGAGGAACCCAAAAAGCACAAGATTTTGATGAAATCTCCATGGGAGATACTTAAGTCTCCGGTTGGTTCTGGTGGAGTCTTGAGCATCCTTGCTTCACATGGAATTACAGACTCCCTTTCCAGCCTCGGAATCGATTATCTTCAGGTATCGATCTCGAATCCTCATGAAGATTTATTACTTAAATCCAGAATAGTTTGATCCTTTTTTTATTTCTTCTTCAAATTTGGTAAAAAAGCATTAAGCTTTGAGACTGTTGGCATCTTCATAGGTACACAGCATTGAAACAAAATCACAACCTCTGCAACATCACATTAATCCGATGCTCGTTGGATTCGTGAGCGCAAAAGGAGCAGAGATTGGGATTCAACTGACCGGAGAATCTGAAGTCAAGAACTTTGAAATGGTATACTCAGTGAAGTCTCTGAAGAGATTGAAGGGCAAAATTGAGCTTGAAGCTGTTATGACGCTGAATTCACATGTTCAGAAGGTTGAAAAAGACTGGATTGAGTCCGTACCATCAGAACCGAACTCGTTTGAGTTCCGTTCTGATATTTACCGAGTCTTGAGTGAATGTTCATCATCAGCTAAGATTTGTTTGATGAACATCACAGTTTAGTATATATGTACATTATCATTATGATCCTTTAGTTTTTCTTACTCATATCTAAAATTCTGTTAGAAAGACAAGACAGATCGGAATGTAAACCTGACAGACAAAGTTTACAGATTACACTAAAAAATAATTATACACGATTCCTTGAAGGTTAAAAGTTGGTTTTGGTTTATTTCACACGATCCAAGGACACCACTCATGCCGACCGTATCTGTTTGGAAGAGACTCGAACTCGGATAAAACAGAGGATTTGGAAGTTAAAGACCTTACCAAAGATTATGATCTTTCTTTGGAGAACAGTTTTCAGGAGCCAATTAGTTTTATTTTATAATAAACTACTAGATAAATCAAAAATTTGTCATTAATTAAATAAAATTGTAAACCAAAAACTTACGAATCATACGAGTCATATTCTAC